TATATATATATATATGCATATTTGAATTTTATGTTGAATGGAAAATGTTTATTTTATATATCTAACTACTGAAATAAGTAAAATAAGCAAAATGCAGATTTAGATTAGTTAATAATTTAATATAATTCCATACCTGTGACTAAAGAACCAGATATAAAATCTTTGGGTTTTCATTTAGTGATAAAACTTCATTTTTAATATGAAACAGTGAGTATTTTAAGCTGTTGGTTCACCTTTAGACAGAAACATAAAGTAAGCTGCTCTCCAGCAGACCTCGGTTTCTTCCACTTCAGCAGTTCTGGTTCTGGAAATGTTTTTTTTTTTTTTTTTACTTTTCCAGGACCTAAAGTCTGTTTAATCTCCTCTTCCTCCTCCAGGAGCCGTTCGTTCCTCAGAAGGGCAACAGAGTGACGTGGTATTGCTGCGGGCCCACAGTGTACGATGCGTCACACATGGGACACGCCAGGTAAACTGATCCGCACCAGAACCATTCTCCGCTGAAGAATCCTGACTTGTCTTCCTGCCAGAGACGAGCTGCTCCGCCTCTTTTCCAGGTCCTACATTTCCTTTGACATCCTGCGCCGGATACTGAGGGACTACTTCAAGTACGACGTCTTCTACTGCATGAACATCACCGACATTGACGACAAGGTGAGACCTGGATTAGTCCGTCTGGGATCGACACATAGGTGAACTGGTTCTGAAAAGATTTAATGATCTGTTTGTTTATTAAGAGACTTAGAGATTATTTAAGGCCGTTAAACTTGAGCTGGAAAACATCCAACGCTTTATGTCTTGTTACCAAAAGGATACGGATGAAGCGACCCAACATGCTGCAGGAAAGCTAACAAAAGTTTCATTTTCTGTTTCTCTCTGCTTCTGCTTGTTATCCAGAAGCAATTATTTCTTCCTGTAGGCGGTAACCATGGTGATGTGTTATTGTTACATCCCCTGGCTGCGTCTAGGATATAAGCTAGGAGGTTTCTGTAGTAAAACCCTAAAAGAAAAGGAGAACTGGGTTAACCTAACTCAGACTAAAACCAAAAAAAAAGCCTACAAAATAATCTACCTAGCAACAGAGATTGGGGATCTGGAGTCAACATTTCATCTGTATGTCATGTGTTTGTTCTGCCCGGTCACTGAACCAGGTGAGTCCAATCTGTAGAGTGAATTAACCCCGTTTAGATTGGACCCACCTGGTTTAGTGCAGGGCTCGATGTTAACCATCGCCCGATCGCCCGGGGCAAGCGGTTTTTATTGTCAGGAGAGTACAGATTTCATTGCATTTGCCCGCCGAATGACGTCAGCTGTGTTGATCTAAAGGTTTTGGACTCACCAACATGACGGCCGGTGAGAGTCCGACTGTAGAGCCTCTAACCTACAGGATGATTCTGTCTGCAGGAAACACGTCAGGTTCTGGACCTGTCTGAGGTTGCACCCAGGTCCGCTCCGATCGTTTGATAACGATCTTTGAGTTTGACCTGTCTTCCTTTTTCAGATCATTAAAAGGGCCCGGCAGAACCACCTTCTGGACCAGTACAGAGAGAAGCAACCAAAGGCAGCGAAGATCCTGCAGGACGTCCTTAGTGCACGAGTGGTGAGTTACGGATCGGATCAGGAACGGAGCGGAGGTCCGATCTGGTCTAAACTGGAGCTGTCTAATCCTCTTTACCTCCATGTTTCCAGCCCTTCCAGGAGCAGCTGGTTTCCACCACAGACCCAGATAAGAAGCAGATGTTGGAGCGACTCGATGCCGCCGTCACATCGGCTCTGCAGCCACTGCAGGGGGCGATGGAGAAGAACGCAGCAGATGAAGTCCTACAACCTTTGGCTCAGGTGAGACTGAGCAGAGATGCTGCTGAATTCAGACCTTCGCAGATGGTTTCCTGCTTCCGGGTGTTTTAGATTAATTAGCTTTTTATTCATCTTGTTTCTAACTTCTCCTGCTTTATACTCCAAGGTGTTGTTGGAGAAATCCAAGGATCTTCTGTCAGAATGGTTGGACAAACAGTTTGGAAGCCAAGTCACCGAGAACTCCATCTTCTCTGTCCTTCCTAAATACTGGGAAGGAGAGTTCCACAAGGACATGGAGGCCCTGAACGTAAGCCGCTTTGGAAGCCGTCACCAGGATGCCTTCAGGTGCTCAGACTGGTCACCCTTTCTGCTTCCATACCCCTCAGGTTCTACCTGCTGATGTTCTCACCCGAGTCAGCGAGTACGTGCCAGAGATCGTGGAGTTTGTGGAAAAGGTTGTCTCAAACGGTTACGGGTGAGGAAATAAACCGTCTGTAACATTCTCCTCCGTCTGTCTCCTTTTAATCATTTGGTTCTTGATTGTTTGCAGGTATGAGTCCAACGGTTCTGTCTACTTTGACACCCAGAAGTTTGATTCCAGTCCGCAGCACTCGTACGCCAAACTGGTTCCAGAGGCTGTGGGAGATCAGAAAGCTTTGCAGGAGGGAGAAGGTAGGGGTTTAGTTCATTCATGTCCTACTCCAAGCTTCCACTAGGAGCCGCCAGAGTCTCAGAACATTCAAGGATTTTGGTTTCTGATAGATTAAGGTGTGATGGAAAGCCTGTGATGTTGACCTTTGCAGAGGAAACCTCTCTGCTCAGAAGAATGTTTGTTTCAGTGTTTCTTCCTTTTCTTTTGAAAAAGAACAGGGTTTCCGCGGGTCCTTAACCTCTTACACCCTCAGGGGGTATAAATAAATTTCTGCCTGACAAAAACACACAAAAGTAAATCACTTATAGCCTCACAGCTATTAGATTTAAGAAGAAACTTTTGGTAC